TCTGCAGAACCAGAACCGAGCTCGACCTGAACAGAGCTGCTGGTCTGCACTGTGGAGCTGTTGAGTAAAAATTTGCAGTACTGTACAGTACATATACGTATGTTGTTAAAATGACATAGGTTTAAGAGCTTAGGACGTTGCAAGAGTGTGGGAAGGGTTTATAAAGCCTTGAAATAAATAAATACCTAAATAAATATAGAGTTCCTCCGTAGCGGTTGTTCACCTCCTGTCTGGAACGTAACCTCTGCGATAATCGAGGGACTACTGTATAAAACCAAATATATGATTTAAGCACAAATTGTTCATTTTGTACACCAGAATGTCTCGTAAAAACATCAAGGCATGGTTCTGACATAAAAAATCACTTTTGTTTGACAGTTGAAAACTTTTCTAAGACAGCTCAGACCTCTTAACATTTAACAAGATGTAAAAAGTAGTATGAATGTCTTCATCCTCACCAACTCTTGGCAGGAAATGTAAAAAAAGTTGCATCCTGACATTTTATAGCATTTCCTAATGCGCCACCCTCATTATGCCCCCCCCCCCCCACACACACATACACACATACACACAAACTTCCACCTTTAAAGGGCCTTCCCGTCTGTTGTCCATTATTTAATTTACTTCATTTGTCCTGCTTCCACAAGTTCAGCCTCATTATTGCTTCAAGTCCAAATGCAGCCTGCGCTTCCATTAAATATTTATTGCAACTCTGACTCAAAGACGTCTCAGTCATCCTCCATGTTTCATTCAGAAATCCCAGGTTTTCACAGCAGCTGGTTTAGTTAGGTCGATTAAACAGTCTCCACTTCTGTCCATGTTGCCGTGACAAACGTAGCTTAAATCTGACACACTTTGTGCTGTAACATCATTTTACGGTCAACGGATGAGAAGATGTAAGGAAACGAGCAGGTTATGATGTGATGTAACAGCAAATGGAGGAGTCCGTATCCTTCATTTCTAGTTGGATACGCAAAGATGCTTATTGTTAATTATAAGTATCAGTACATCAAAATACTGCACAGTCATCTTTACTAGTGACGTCCACAGAGACATCATACAGTTAGAGTTGTGTATGGAGAAGGGCGCCCTCTGTTGGGACGATACCCAGGGTGTGAAACGCTTCCATCAGCTGGGCGTGTCACAGGTAGGTGGTGGCCTCTCTGTTCTCCTTCTCCCTGGCCTGAGCCACAGCCACGTTGATGCACTGCAGCCACTCCTCGGCGTGCTTCTCATCCTCAGCTTTCAGCACGTACGACTTTCTGTCTGTAAAGATTTCAAAGGCCCGGGGCAGACCCCGATCTCTGCGTTTTTTAGCTACTACCTACAAACAAAAACAAGAGTAGAGGGTGAAGCATCTCCTGAGGGAAACTGCTGTTGTCACTTCTGAACGTCATATCATTTGACTTTTTTTTTTTTAAGCTTCATTCTTAGCTTTGACCAGGTATCCTAAAACATTTCAACGCTGATCTGGGATGATTTGTTACGACGGAGCTTTAGGGCAACGCAAAAAAAATAAAATAATACATTGCCACGCTGGATTTTTGTTTAAAAAGCTATAAAATTACGAGAATAAAGTCAAATAAAGTCTTAAAATTACGAGAATAAAGTCAAATAAAGTCTTAATATTATGAGAATAAAGTCTAAAGAATAAACCCTTTAAAACAAATTTTTTTTACAGTTGTCGTTAATTTTTTTTCCACGAGTCGGACTCAACCTGTCAATCAATCCAGTAGATGTGTCAGCAAATGACCACGCTAATGAGTCATAATATTATCTGAACTCTGACACGAAAAAGCAGGGTTTACCGTATTTTAACTGTGGTAAGATGAAGATTATTTGTTAAACTTTATTGTTATCGACACTCTTACTCGAAACATGTTTCAATACTTCCACCTACTGTTGTGTTTTCGTGTGCTGCTTCTGCAACGCATATACGCGACGTCATTACGTCACGACGTTCGTTTCCGTTTCTGTTTGAAAACGGCGCTCAGTGAGAAAAACTGCGTAATCTGTCAGCACATCAGCATCAGATTATTATCAATATCAGGACATTGAACCTGCTTATAGTACGCTCCAGCTCTCTGCAGGTAAGGAGCATTTAGCTTCAGATTGGTCATTTACTGACACGCCTACTGGACTGACTGACAGGTCGCGTCATGGATCGACTCGTGGATAAAAAAATTAACAACAGCTGTAAACAAAAAGAAGTCTCGTATGACTTTATTCTCATAATTTTATGGCTTTTAAATTTTATTTTTTCAGCATGGCTCTAAAGCTCAGTCGCAGATTTGGTGAATTGATTTCTGCAAATCCCTTAAAGATGAAATGTGAGGGGATAAATGACAATCACCTTGACACTCTGCACCTTGCTCAGCTCAATAGGGATGTCATCCATCTCATCTTTCTGTGAAAAAGACAAATTATACTCAGATGATGAAGTTTTTCTTCATGTGTGAGCTGTCAGGTACGATCCAGTGAGCACAGAATCACAGTTCTGTTTGTGTTTCCAGCACATTCAGTCTCACAACAGACCATTTATAGGCTAAACAATAGCATCTTGTTCTGCTGGTTCTTGGGGGTGAAAAGGAAATCTGTGTTGCCCAATCTGTCATTTTAAATGCAACTGTTTTTAGACAGGGAGGGGTGCAGCACAGCCACTTATCCTCGTTATGTGGTTCTAACCACACAACCAAAACAAGCTGGAGGACTCCCTGCAAGTGTCCACATCCTCTCTGGAATGGGTGCACGTTCAAAAATCCTTCATTTCACCAAACATCAGCTTTACCTCCTGCCTGCTGCTCTGTTCCCCATGATTTAATCCAGTTTAGCCATATTGTAATATTTTAACAGGAAAATTGATGAAGATATTATGTCAAACTTCTGATTATATTTATTGTATACGTTGTCTTGCAGTGTTGCAAAGAAGGTGAGTTATCTATAGCAGGGGTGCCCACACTTTTTCAGCATGCGAGCTACTTTTAAAATGACCATGTCAAAGTGATCTACCTATATTCAAAAACTTATATATAAAACCTATATACAAGGCCCCGTTTACATGAGTACAACCTCTGGAAATGTTAGTGTTTTTTCAATGTTTATTGGGGGTAATAAACAAAAAATGTGTGTGTTTACAGGAAAACACAGTAGTTTCCACGTCAGTCGGGTTGCCAGATAAGAATTGATGAATTATGGTAATGTGGCTTTAAAATTATAGTATTTTGACCTAAACGGTCATATGTGCTGAGTAAAGATATTCTAAGGTTGTTTTCACACCTGACAGTCCGGTAGACTCGGTTCGTTTGGGGACCAAAATTCAGAACATTTGTTACATTTTCAGCTGGTGCAGTTTGCATTCACACTGCACTGAGTCAATTGAGTCAACCTGTTCCCCTCCTCGCCTGTGGTGGCGCTGCACCAAGAACTACTGAAGGAAACAACACAAAAACCTCTGAAGACACTTCTTCTTCTTCTGGAACTAAAAACAAAAACTGAGTGGCGTCAAATTTGAGTGGTTTTAGGAGTTCTGTTTTGTCATTTTTCAACAATGGACTCGGCATGAGTGGAAGATGAGGCAGAAGACCATGGAGAATGTTGTTTTTCACACAAGGCGGCTGACTGCTCCGTATGAGGTAAGAATAATGCACATTTGTTTGCCTTGCGCTGTAGTCCACTTCCTGATTTGGAGCGGTCTCCACTCTGCTTGCATTCACACTGCATTCGAACCACGCTAGAGTTCACTACAACCGAACAGAGACCTAGGTATTTAGGTGGACCAGAGTTCGCTTATTTGGTTTGTATCAGAGTTTGATTGCACATTCACACCTCCCCAAACGAACCGGACTTTCTAGGCAAACGGACTAGAGTTCGGTTGACCTGTAGCAGAAAGGGAAGGGAAGTCTGAGATGGTCATCATTGTATGTTCCCACACAATGATGAAATTACTTCTCTGCATTGAACCCATCACATGCACCCACATGTGCATCAGATGCACCCAGGTGGGGCAGTGGGCAGCTATGTAGGCACCCAGGGTGCAATTGATTACGTGTCTTACTCAGAGACACCAGGACATGTGGGCATGGCTGGGAGTCGAGCCAAGACTTTCTGGTCCCGGCTGCCCTACATCTACCCCATCTCAGCCCCTAACACCCCATCTTGCTGGGGCTGCAGTTTCACCTCGTGTAAACGGGGCCTCAGATTGGCTGCCCTGTATGTTAATCAAGTGACAAATTTCATAGTGAGGATGGATGGCTGACATCTATTTTTTAATACCTTTGCAATCGACCGGTCGACGTATTGAGCAACCCTGCTCTAGAGCTTTGGGCTTGGACAAGAGAAAGACAAGTCTTTGCTTTTCTTAAAACTTGTCTCAAATCCTCTCCAGTGCCTAATCTGCTTAAGATTTTTTATCTGTAGAACACATGGAAAAAATGATTTAGGTAACTTAGTAAGTACTTATTAGATAGAGCAAAGTTCTTGCACAGCTTGCTGGTACAGACAGACTGATCTCAGAGAACAAAGGCTCACAGTCTTCTGGATCTGTGGCAGCTGCAAACCGGAATCGATCACCATCTGGACAGCAGCACAAACACGTGTGTTTACAGTGAGGGGAAAAGGAGGACCGGCTCGGCTCCTAGTAGCTACACTTTAATCACTGCAGATCCCCAAACTTCCAGGTGCTGTTTGTAGACGTTAGCGTTTGGAAGGACGGTTGTAAAAGTTTGGCATCAAAAGGACAAAGTCAAATCCTTATTTGATCCAAATGTTAATTGTTTTAGTTGTGAATGGTATGGACATGTGCATTCACACTGAAAACTCCCATTATGAGCTGCACTGACTGAAAATTGATTGATATTTGAGCAAACTTTACACTGAGCAAACATTTTCCAGCATGCTGCTAGTGCTGCATGTTTCTCATTAGGCATGATGTTTGTTTGTGCAGTAACTCTTTGTGAAGTGGTTTTAGTTTTTGTTTAAATGATCATTAAAGAGATAATGGGGGGACTTAGAGGGAAAACCATGCTGTTTGTTGGGTGGATTGAGTGGAAACTTGGCCGTCTCATGGACCATATGGACCTCGTTGCGTATAAATCTGCTCCCTGGTCTCCGTTTGCTCGTTACACATAAAGTGTTCTGCCCTGATGAAGAGGACGACAGCGACAGTGACTGGTTTGCTACACTTGCATTCACCTCCTTCTCCAAAGGGACAGCTGAGCAGATGTTCATCAGGATTCAAGTGACACCAAACAAAGAAAGATTTTAGATCCTGCACATATTAAGGAGGCGTGTGTGTGTAGCCGTGAGTGTGTTTATGCTTTAATCTCAGCCTACGTACTGATTTTCCTCTGCGAAACAGCAGCTGGTTTCCTGCCAAGGTGAAGTAACGCGTTTTCCATCTTTTAATGAACTTCCATCGCACCTGCTTCTCTTTCAGCTTCCCTTCGATTAGAGGTTGTCCCTCCTGGTTCACAACTAGAGGGTCAGACAAACAGAACGGGCAGAAAGGGAGAAAGTTGGATGGAATAATGAAAAACAAAAAGCTAATTTGTGCTTTTTAGAATTACCCTTTCACTTTGAATTGCTGCTAAAAAGCAGTGTGATAATGAGACTCTATTCTCTTGAGTGTATTTAGTTTCTGTGCAGAAGAAGAAACTGGATCAAGTGTAAAAACAACCATCTTAAAACAAATTCCCACCATTACCACTACATTGCAGTTCATGCAAACATTCCTTATAAAAACTCTTTACACTATTGTCATTTTGGGATTTCACAATTATTCCAGCAGCATTAATATAGATACTTCATCCTTGAAATTAACCACAGGAGGCACTGGAAGTGCTACAGCCAGCTGCTGCTGTTATTGGCACTTGTTAATAACCACTTTCTACGTAACTAACCATGAAACATAAACTGGTGTCAGGTTTATAGAACGTTCATATGAACCTTTATAAACCAGTGAAGATCGAGTTGTTTTGGTCTAAACCAGGGGTGTCAAACTCACTTACAAAAGAGGGCCAAAATTAAAACCTTTTTCAAACTAAGGGCCAGTTTCAGAACCTACATTAACTCAAATCAGATACACATCATCTTGTCTTGGTTGCACGTTCCTCAATAAGAGTTTGATTGGTCTCATTTGATGTTCTCTGCTGCACTTTTGACATCAGAATCAAAGATTACTGAAAAAACTTAACGTGATAAAAAGTATTTTACATTTAAAATAACATCTTGGGGGCCAGATAAGATGTCACTGAGGGCCACATCTGGCCCCCGGGTCTTGAGTTTCACACATATGGTCTAAGCTGTGTTCAGACCAGCTGTTAGCATCAACAGGTGTAAACTCTGTTTCTCCAAAGTAAGATAATTCATAGAGCTGCTTGCAGCAGGTAAGATTAGAGTTGTCCATAACATTTTCCAAAGAACCACAGTTGAAAAGGCCTGAACTTGATCTTAAAGACAAGCTTGTTGGTAGATACAACATAAAGAGCTTCAGTACTAAACTGACAGATACTGACAGCGACGGGAAAAAAAAGTTATTGGTAGTGTGTGACAAAAAATACTTAAACCAGTAAGAATAAACCCAAAAACTTTGCCACCACAGAATGTGAAAAATGTAATAAACAGTTTAGTACGAGGAGTATGATGCGTGTTCTTGTCATGTGGTACAGATGACTGACCACCAACAGTTTCAGCTCATTCCAAACGAAAATTTAAAAGCAGAGAAGACAGAAAATTCTTTGATGTTTTTGTTTGTATCACATTATTTCAAGTTGCATAATTTTATTTCCTTTAGCCACCAATCAAACAAATTTGTTTGAAACATGCACATATTTCAAAACCCTACATTTTATGGGAGAGTCAAGGATCTGACCTTTTGGTGTACTTAGCCCCCTGACAATGGCTCGAACAGCGCACCCCATGGTGAGGTTTTGCAAAAGCTTACGACACCTGGTATTCCTAGGTGGTCTCCCATCCAAGTACTAACCAGGCCCGACACTGCTTAGCAGCCAAGATTACACAAGGGGATCAGGCGTGTTCAGGGTGGTATGTCCATAAACAAGGAACTCAGTCACAAATAAGACTTTTAAAGGATCATAACAAAGACTAAACCAGAAGTTGCAACATATATCTTCATATAAAACACCCCAAACAAAGCACAACTAGCTTTAACCTTTAATTTAACCATTAAGATACAATGTAATTATGACAGAAAATGGAGGATTTACCTGCAGGTAGCTTCATACAGATGAACATGTGGTACTTCCTGTTTATCACTGTTGTACAGTAGTCCCTCGTTTATCGTTCATAAGTTAGACTTATTTATTATGTCACACAGTGGAACATTGTGTAAAAAAGGTTTAAAAGTTTCATACATGTAAAAGCACATTGACTTGTTTTAAAAGTAGTAAATGCTGATGTGAATTTGTCGAATCCTTCCAGTCCATGTGTGTGTTTCTTTGTTTACCTGTGGCCTTCTCAGGGTTGTTGCACATGAAGCAGAGCCAACTTCCCTCGTCCTCACTGTAACCAAAAAGGTCAAAGAACCGCACCTCCTCCAGCTGCATCTGAAGGTTATCCAGATCCTGGAGGACAAACAACGAGATAAAACATTAAACCCTATCTTATCTTATGAATAAGAACCCCGAGCATGAACGTTTTGTGTAACTGCAAGTATTGCTGTGTTCCTACTCATTTGAACGACGCAAGCCCCAAATCAAAACCTCATTTCATCACATTTACACACGGAGTTCAGGTCAGTGGAAAGAACAAACATCTTGTTTTGTTGTTACAAACAAAACACTTGAAGTCAAAGCCCTTTGCTTGCAGGTACAGATCAACCAGGACCACGTGTGTTGGAGACAACCACCTGCAACATTCATTTTCTTATGTGGTGAAAACCACTGAGCACATGTTGACAAACAGAAAATCCTGCTCACGATAAGCGAAACGTTCATTTCATGCATAAGAAAAAAAAGGCAAAAAGAGGATAAGAAAAAATAACCCAAAAAATAAATAAAATATTAAACTTTGTGTTTTTGTGTCAGCGTTCTCCATCATCAATAATAATAATATAATGAAGAATAGTAAAAAAAAATGTGGGTGATGAAGATCCAGAAATATTGAAGGAATGAAAAATGAAGAATAAATTAATAAACACCTACAGCTAACAAATAATACAACAGAAAAAAAACATCTATTGTTTAAAACTTATATTTACATTTCGTAATCAGTCCAATTAACTTTTTATAATTTCAGGCTAATTAGTTACAGTTATTCAGTGTCGGAAACTGTGAAGAACAAAAAGAAGCAAAACATAAATAAATAAAAAGTCCAGTTGACGTTAACGTCGCTGGTTTTCTTTTTGTTGGAACAGTACATGGTAACGTACACAGAGAAGAGTCACAAAGGAGACGAGAGGGAAAACGATGTGTTGAGAAACTTCGACTGAAGCCACTTCACAAGTTGCACCTTCCCTACTTTGTGCGAGGAAGTTTGATGATACAGGTAAATTGTCAAGGGAGGAAAAAAGGAGGAACGTGTGTTACAGATCCAAAATAAAAACTGAAAAATGTTTGTGTTAAATCAAAAAGGATAAATTCAGTCAGAAGTCTTCTAATATGAAGACTCCTGATTTGCTAATAGATTTCAGACAGCCGTAAATAATACATTATTGTTTGTGATAACTATTAAAAAAGTTATTTTATAAACCGGGGAGGAGAGCCAACATAAATAAAATATCAACTTAATAAAAAGCGATATAAAAGCAAGTTTGTATTTATAGAACTGGACATTTATCTTTACGGCTGTCTGAAATTCATGTTAGAAGACTTCTGACTGAATTAATCATTTTTGATTTACTACAAACATTTTTTCAGTTTTTATTCTGTATCTGTAACACACTTTCCTCCTTTTTTCCTCCCTCAACAATTTATTTGTATCGTCAAACTTCCTCACACAAAGTAGGAAAAGTACTTGTGAAGTAGCTTCAGGTGAAGTTTCTCACATCTTTTCCCTCTCGTCTCCTTCCTGACTCCTCGCTCTGTGAAAGTTACAGCACATTTCCCTCTCCCTCTGTTTGCTCTTTAGTTTAGCAAGAAACTTCTAAAAGCTTTGTTCACCATTCTTTTCTTACTTCCTATTTACCACCTTTGCCCAGTCCCCAGTTTATAATTCTCTCTACCTTGTGACTCTTTTCTTCAATCTGTCTGCTCCAAACATTCTTTAAATCATTTAACATCTTGTTAGCCCAGTGCTGACTACAAACATATAACTCCTGTTGCATCCATTCTATATAACCCAGAACTAACTCCCCTACCATCCTTATTTTTAAGTTTCTTGAAGATCATATACAATTCATAAACATCACAATTTAAACCAAATCATCTGAAAATACAAAACACAAATAAACAAGAAATACCTCCTGACAACCCACAAAAACTCAAACACTATATACATCTAAAATAAAACACCAAAACATTCGAACAGTCCCAGTGCACAGTGTGGAGACTCTGTGTTTTGTTGTGGTGGTTCCTGATCCCTGCAGCTCCTGAGTGGCAGGGCAAAGTCTAATCGTCACACCAGTTCTGGATCCCGTGCAAATGGTGAGCTACTGCTCTTCAGCCCCTGGGACCAGCAGTTCAATGCTGGATCATTTTGGGTAACTCGGTGACTGCAGGCCAACTGTTCATGCTGTATTTCTAACCTGTAAATCATCTGTGTATTCTCAAGGCCCGGCTCACTGATGCTCTGCCTTGGATCCTTCCAGCTTCTCGAGTTCCTTTGTGTTTCCTCTGTATTACCTGCTTTAGCATCCCAGGAGCCTCCTGTCTCCATATCCTGCAACAGACAGCACTGGGTCAGTCTTCCAAGTTTCCGTCCTGCCGTTCTCCTACGTATGTGCATTGTTCTGGAACGTCCATGCTCCTCTTCAAATGGAACATCACTTCTAAAGACTGCAAGATAACTCTCCAAAGACTGGCTGTGATGGTCAGCAGCCCCCGCTGCAGCCCCCGCTGCACCCCCCCCCCCCCCCCCCCCCCCCCCATCTGCTCATGTCTCTGCCCCTCCTGTCAAGTTTTTCTGTCCTCCCTGCCATAGTTCCTGCCTTTAGGCCACAGATCTGCCCATCCTGCCTTCATGTTTTGTTTCCCTCTCAGCTCCTGTCATGTCTCTGTGCTCCTGTCAGCTGTTCACCACGCCCCCTCAGTCTCAGCACTGCAATCAGCCTTCATCTCGTTCACCTGTTTTCAGCCCTTTATAAGGTCCATGCTCAGTCATTCAGTGCCAAAAGGAATAACAATAGATGCGAGGAATGTGGGGGAAACAGAAAGTGTGGAACATGTATTGATGGATTGCATTAAATATACGGAAGAAAGGGAGAGACTGAAAAGAAAAGTCAAAGAGAAAGGGAGAGCTTGGAGTTTAGGAGGAATTTTAGGAAATGAAGGGGAGAAGGATAAGATAAAAGACATCAGAAAAGCATTGGTTACATATTTGAAAAACATTAACATAAAAAACAGAATTTAGGGACAGAGGTCATGAGTTGCACACTCTAGCTCAGTAGGTGGCGGTATGCACCTGAAAGCTGTTTGCAATCCGCCAATAAATTAAAAGAAGAAGAAGAAGAAGATTCAGTGCCAAATTATTAAACCTTCCATGGTCACTGATATTCACGCCATCCCTGTCGTCTTGTTCATGCCTGTACCTCAAGTCTTGTTTTGGATTAAGACCTCACGCCTGATTCCTGGACTTTGCCCACGGTAACGAACTCTGCTTCTGTTTATACTACTACACCTCACAGATTACTTTTTGGATTTACTTATTTGGAACTCAGATCTACTGTGTATGACCCCCACTACGCCTCTCGGACCACACTCTTGAACTTCACCCCCCATGAACCATGTATTGCAGCACTCTTCCACAGCTGCTCTGCCAGTGACATCATTGCTGCTATTCTGTCAGGTGACACTATCCCTCCTGCCTGTGAGGACCTGTCACCACAGCAGATCCTGACTTCCCATCCAGCAGCAATAATAAATAAAAACTGTCATTTTTTACTCTTGTGTCTGGCTTATTAAGGGTCCTACACCCGAACCCGACACTATCCCTGAGAATTATTCTACCTTATTCTGTCAAGATTGGGTTTTGGATTCAGAGTAAGCCAGACACAGGAGTGCAAAAACAAGAACAGTTTTTATTTATTATAGGCTGTGGGTGCAAAGTCAGGATCAGCTGAGTTGACAGTCTTCACAGGCAGATGGAGAGTGAGAGTCACCTGTTAAGTCTGCAGTGATGATGTCACTGGTCATGTGCAGAGCAGCTACAGAAAAAAAAACTGTTCTTGTTTTTGCACTCCTGTGTCTGGCTTACTCTGGATCCAAAACCCAATCCTGACAGAATAATTCGGCCAAAGATGGATTCTAAGCCAGAACAGGAGTGGCTCTCAGGGGTCGCGAGCTCCCTAAAACGTCTGGATACTCAGTTACAGATTTTGAAAACTATGCTCTGTGCCAGGTTTTGCCTACCCACCCCAGTGACTTTTCATAGCTCCTTGTCTGCATCAGATACAGTCTCAGCTGCAAAACACACGACTTTCAAACCTGCTGCAGCTCTGACCCCATCACATGCTGCAGAGCCACAGGCCTCCACCACGTTGTCTGCTGCAGAGCCCCAGG